TCGGGGGAGGGAAAGATAAGGAAGTTTCCAAAAGTTTTTTCATATGTTAAAGAAGATTTACGGGATCCTGGAGACCTGGTTGTGGTCAAGCCGAGGGTGTTTTTCCCTCTAGCAAAGCGTTCACTGTAAGACACCTGGGAGTTCGCCCGAATGTCCTACTCTGCCCGCCTCAAGTGCTTCACTGGGCTGCAAGTTGTAAGGAAATCTAATTTTATCTACATTTCTTTTGCCTTTGTTCTTCACAGCAACAAAACATTTTTAGTATATTTTAATTTTTTTATTTGTTATATATTTTATATTTTTTATATTTTTAAAATTATTTTTATTTTATATTATTTTTATTTTTTTTTTTAATTTTTATTCTTAAGTAAGCCCCACAACCCCCAGAGGGGCTTAAACTCACTGCCCTGAGGTTAAGAGTCACGTGCTCGACCAACTGAGCCAGCCAGGTGCCCTTGGTCATAGAATATAGTCTGTAAGAATTAAATCCTCTGAAATTGATAGCTCAGTGTTTGGTTGCATTTTGTAAATGCTTTTTTTTCTGAATGTGGGAAAAATATGTATTCTGTACTGGTTGTATGCATTGTACTGTTTCCTACTCACGTTAATCTTCTATATTCTCTTTTAAAATCTTCTGTGGGTTTTTTTTTTTTTTAAGATTTTATTTATTTATTCGTGATAGACATAGAGAGAGAGAGGGACAGAGACACAGGCAGAGGGAGAAGCAGGCTCCATGCACCAGGAGCCCGACGTGGGATTCGATCCTCGGTCTCCAGGATGGCGCCCTGGACCAAAGGCAGGTGCCAAACGGCTGAGCCACCCAGGGATCCCCACCTTCTGTTATTTTTAAAACTTCTGTTTGAACTATTGGTTATTGATAGATTTTTTTTCTATTTTGTCAATTTGTATATATTTTTTATAATTACATATTTTATATGTATGCAAAATATAATATATATTTATGCATTAATAAATGCATAAAGCATAGAATTCTTGTATCTCCATTGTGAATTGAACCTGAACACTTATAAAATGTTCACCTTTGCTGCAAATATTGCTCTTTTTTTTTTAGATTTTATTTACTCATGAGAGACACAGAGAGAGAAAAGCAGGCTCCATGCAGGGTGCCCGACCTGAGACTCGATCCTGAGTCTTCAGGATCACACCCTGGGCTGAAGGCAGTGCTAAACCACTGAGCCACCTGGGCTGCCCTGCTTTTTATTTTAAACTACATGTGGTGGGCAGCCCCAGTGACGCAGCGGTTTGGCGCCACCTGCAGCCCAGGGCGTGATCCTGGAGACCCCGGATCCGTCCCAAGTGGGGCTCCCTGCATGGAGCCTGCTTCTCCCTCTGCCTGTGTCTCCGCCTCTCTCTCTCTGTGTCTATGAATAAATAAATAAAATCTTAAAAAAAAAAAAAAAGATAAACTACATGTGGTCTAATAGTAATATATCAGTTTACTTTGATTTAGTGTGTACAAGAAAGCATCTTTTTCCATGAGTTTCATACTTTGAGTCGGTATCCTTGTTTTAATGTCTCCTTTAAACACATACACTGGAGCAGCTACCTTTGGCTCAGGTCGTGATCCTGGGGTCTGGGATTGAGTCCTGCATGCCCTGTAGGGACCTTGCTTCGCCCTCTGCCTGTCTCTGCCTCTCTCTCATGAATAAATAAATAAAATCTTAAAAAAATATAATAAAAAATAAACACCTACATTTGTTATATTTTTAATCCAGTCTAATAACCCCTACAGGTTAATAGGAACATATACTCTATTCAAATTTAACATAATTACTGACATGTTTGAATTCAAATCTATCATTTTAATAAGGTTTCCCTTTTTGTTCTGCCTGTTGTCTGTTGCACTTTTATTTTTGTTTCAAGTTTTTATTTAAATTCTAATTAGTTGAGACGTCTGGGTGGCTCAGCGGTTGAGCATCTGCTTTCAGCTCAAGGCATGATCCCTGGGGTCCCGGGATGGAGTCTGGGATTCAGCTCCTTGCAAGCCTGCTTCTCTCTCTGCCTATGTCTCTGCCTCTCTCTCTCTCTGTCTCATGAATAAATAAAAAAAAAATATTTCAAAAAAATTCTAATTAGTTAACATGTATCTTTTCTTTTGGATTGCTTTATTCTTATATTAATAGTAGATTAATATCAAACAATGAGTTAATAGATTGTATTGATTATAAATATAAATACTAATATCAATGTTATACTTGTTTATGCCAGCATTTTCCCTCTTTTTTTGAAAACTCTACCCTTGTTTAATATTCTTTTAGTAATTAACCTAGAAATTTCAATGCTACTACTTGACTTATGAAAACTACTACTAACCGGGGTTTTTACCTTTTTTTAAGTTATCTCTGTGCTCAACATGGGGCTCAAACTCACAACCCTGAGAGATCAAGAGTCGCATGCTCTATGGACTTAGCCGGCAAGCACCCCAGGACTTATACCTTCCAGAAAAAATTTTAGAATTCTTTTACTTTATCACTCCAGTTACTCTCCCAAGTTACATGCTTTTTTCTTGTTTCAGTTCTCTTGGACACATGCCTAAGAGTGGGGTTGCTGGGTCACATGGTGATGCTATGTTTAGCATTTTGAGCTACCAATTATTGTTCAAAGCAGCTGCACCATTTGGGATTCCAGTTTCTCCACATCCTTACCAACACTTGCTGTTGTTGGTTTTATTCTAGCCCTCCTAGCAGATGTGAAGTGGTATTTCCTTGTGGGTTTGATTTGTATTTTCCTAATGATGGTGAGCATCCTTTCCCCTGCTTGCTGGTCAGCCATCAGTATACCTTCTTTGGAGAAATGTCTATTCAAATCCTTTGCCCTTTTAAAAATTGTTTCCTTGTCTTATTTTTGAGTTCTAAGAATTCTTTATATGTTTTGGATAGAAGCTCCTTACCAGAAGCAGGATTTGCAAATGTCCTCTCCCCTTTTGTGGGTTGTCTGCCCCTGTTCTTGATGGTCTCCCCTAGGTGCTCATTTTTTATTCTGATGAACTTTATTTTTGAAGAAATAAACATTGCAATTGGAGTTAAAGCTCCTTTTTTGCCACTTAATGACACAATTTCTCTCCCTACCTCCCCAGAGATTACTTCTATTCTAGATTTGATCTCTAATTGCCTAGTTGTTTTTTTATCCTGTAAAATACACAGAACTTATACCATCTTAACCATCTTGAGGTATACAGGTCAGTGGCATCGAGCACATCCACATGGCTGTGCCACCATCACCACCATCCATCCCCAGAGTCCCTCTCATCTTGCAACACTGAAACTCTGTCCCTGTCAAACACCAAGCTCCCATTTCTTGCTCTCTCTCAGGCCCTTGTAACCACATTCTGCTCTCTGGCTCTAGGAATCATCTAAGTACCTCATAGGACTAGAATCACAGTATATGTCCTTTTGGGATTGGCTTAGTTCACTTCCCACGCAATCTTCAAGGTTCATCACGTTATAGCGGGTGTCAGAATTTCCTTCCTTTTAAAAGGCTGAATGATAACATTTCCTTGTGTGTCTGCATTTTGTTTGTCAATTCATCTTTCAGTGGACACTTGTTATAAATTTGTGTCTAGCCCAGTGGGCTAGATCTAGTGTTGACCTCTACCCTCTGTATCATATTTTTTAGTGGATTTTAATTACTCCTATTATTTAGAGACACACTAGCTATAGCAGGGGTCGGCAAACCTCAGCCAGCAGACCAAATATGGCCCACTGCCTGTTTTTATAAATAAAATTCTGCTGGAACACAGCCACGTGCATTTGTGCATTAATTGTCTATGGCTGCTTGCATGCTACAACAGCAGATTCTCACCAACAGCAGAGTTGGGTGACTGGGGCAAAAACCATAGGGCAGAGCCTAAACTATTTATACTTTAACCCTTTAAGTAAAAGTTTGTGGTTTCCAAGGCAATAGTAACAAATAGATTCCAAAATGTGTAACAGCTCAAACACCAGTTTACTTTTACCATACCATACCCCAAAGCAGGCAGTTTTCTCCATGTTCGATTTGTGGACAAGGGATGCTTCCATCCCGTGGCTCTGCAATCCACAGGGGCCTCCACGTCATTGCCTTGAGCTTGTAGAGGCTACTACTCCTTTAGCCTCTGGTCCAGGAACAAGCCTCCTTCCTCACTCATGATCCATCGGCAAGAACGAGGTACCTGACAGTATCCCGGTGCAAAGAGTGGCACACTTGGTCACCTCCTCCCAGTGGCAACCCTAAGCTACCAACTGTAGCTGTCTCAGCCATGCCAACACCAACAAGCAAGGCAGAATGGGCAAGGATAGGACAGCAGGCCTCTACGGCTTGATGTCAGGAGCTGGGCTTTTAATGCCTGCAAAGGGCAGACAAAATACTACAGAATGCCAGAATGAAAATCAGGCCTTTGAAAGACTCGGGCAAAGCCAGGTGAGCTACAAGGAGAGAGCGCCCTTCCTCGGGATATGGTTAAACCAGCTCGTGGAGTCGTAACCTGGGTCAAGAATGGAGTGTTGTTGGTCTGCTGACTCCCTGATACAGCTTGAAAGTTTGTACAGGTACGTACCTTTCTTCTTGAGCTTTCTGAAGGTTCCAAGAATTCTGACCACCGAAAAAAAGTTACAAACAAAACTAACTCTAGTCTAATATTCCTTTCCCACCCTGGAAGTTGCTGAGGGGGGTTGTATGCAATCCATCCAGTGAGTTTGTTATTTGAAAAAACTGACCACATATCAGGCCATTTTGGTTTTTGCTTTTCTATTTTGTTAATTATAAAGGCAAGTTTCCCCCACTGAAATGCAGAAATCAGTGGTAGAATAATAACAAGGAAAAACTCCTAAGCCATATCATAAAAACCTGAGAGCACAGACTAGGTGTGTACTGGCAGGAGGGAATGGCCAGATGACCGGCCATCGAGGGTAAGGTGGAGGTATCAGGGCATGAAGATGGTCATCCCCTCAGCCTGCCGGCCTCCTCTGGGTCTTCACCATCAGGAGCACAACATGCAAACTTCAGTACAAGAGCTGGTAAACCGTGGCACTATTCTTGGAGCCCGTGACCAGATACTGGTTGTCTGAAGACACATCACAACACAGAATATCTGTAGGCTCCTCTGCCTGTAGGGAAAGAGAGGCCAAAAGTATGACCACAGGCAGCGGCCAGGCATGGGCTAGAGATGATGGCCTCACACGGGGCTGTTTCAAGGCAAAGGTTGGACCTGAGGTTCAGTCTGGAGAGCATGGGGCAGCATTCAGGGCTCAAGGTGGAGCCTGTGAGGTCACAGAACCTTGAGTCCTCATTCCCCTTCCTCTATTAAATGGCCCCAGATGCCAGCCCAGAGGTACTTTCTGGGACTGTCCTTGGGACCTGACCCACTAGGATCTGGGTCTACTAGTTCTGCTTGCCTGGGTTTGCGCATCCCTCCTCCCAATACCTGAAACAACCTTTGTAGAGAAGGTGCAGCTATGCAGTGGATCGACTCGTCCAGTGTGGTCACAAAATAGCTCCCTGGTGAAGGAAAGGCAGGTGGAGAGGCCAGAGACCAAGCTTGCATTCCAGTCCCAGCTCCATCCCCAAGATGACTAGGGAAAGGGCCGCTCTTTCTCTGGCTCAGTGTGTGGGTCTATAAAAATCAGACCCAAGAGCCAAACCATTCCCTCATCTGGCCCTCCTGCCACATATGGGATCATAGTCAGTATCACTGAGCAAAGGACAATCAGATGGGGCGTCAGGCCTCTTCTGCCCGCCTGAGTCTCCGGGCTGCTGTTCAGTGTATGAAGGCACTCAGAGAGCCAGAAAGGAGAGGGACAGGAGACAGGTAGGGCACCAGGCCACAGAGGGAGAGGCAGAGCGGTGGGGAAGGGAGACGTGGATGCGGAGGTAAAAGCAGTAGGGAAACGGGACACCTGGTTCTCCACTTGGCCAGGGCCTGAGGCTGGAGAGGGAGGAACAGAGCCTGAAACCAGGCTGGGCCCAGACTCTGTAGATGAGCGGACATCTTGTGGTACGACGGGACCCCTAGAGGAGGTCGTCTGGCTTCTACTCACCACAGGAAGCAAACTTGAGGTTGTGGTGGTTGACGTATTTATGAAGGACTGCCTTGAACTTCTCTCTCCGATGTGTGTGGAGGATTATGATATCACTTGTTCTCAAGCCTACCAGCACCCATTCCTCACTGGGGTCGTGGGTAATGCTGAGGATCTGTGTGGAAGAAGGATGGAGTCACCACTCTGAACTGCCCACACCCCCATCATCTGTGCCCTCTCTTGAAACTCTGTCCCCACCCCTGCGAGTGCCCCCGGCTCCCAGCCACAGGGACTGCCCTCAGCCCGGCAGTGGCTGCCCAGATGCCCAGACACCTCATGCTGCAAATCGTGCTGCTGTAACCTCTGGTAGCTCCTCAGGTCCCAGGAATATAGTCTGGTGTCTTCACCTCCCGTCCAGAACTTATTGCCCACGATGTCCACACATCGAGACCCATATTCTGGGACTTCATGCTTCCTGATGGGAAAACAGTTCAGAGGTGCATGCACTGGCTAAACACCCGGAAGTCGTGGGCCCAGGAAGCCGCCAGTAGCACCCTGCATATATTCTCCACACACACTCACCTAGTCCTCCTGCACAGAGCGGGGAGGGAGGCCCAGAAAGGGATACCAGCTTTCCCAAAGACCTTACCATCAAGCCCTCCCCTAGATCGTACCTGATCAAGATCTGGTTCCGCAAATCCCAAATCTCGACAAATCCTTTGAAACAAGCCAAGCAGATCTGGGCATTGGAGGAGAGCGCCAGGGAATAGCACATGGGGCCCGTGGAGGCCAGCTGTGCCCTGATGCGGGGTGTGGGTGCCAGGTCCCAGAGAGTCAGGCTCCGGGACAGACCCCCAGTGATGAGGCTCCGCTCGTCAGGGAAGAGCTTGCAGGTGAGGACACAGTTCTGGCGGTCCTGTAGGAATAGTTCCCACCTTCACATCACCTCCTGGAGGCGTGGCCTCTGAGTCTCACGACAGAGGTCACATCTGGGTTCCCACGGCCCGTCCTGAACACCACTCACCTGCAGGTCCAGCTGGGCCTGCGGGGGCATGTTGCAGCTGTACAGAGCGCTCTTGTCCCACACCTTAATGTAGCCGTGGCCACACGTGTATACATGGTGAGTTGAGCTAATGGCAACGGCATAGACTTTCTTTCCATGGCGGAGCCTGCCAACCTTCCAGGACCTCTGTGGGACCCTCTGCCTGACGACCACTTCATCTGGAATGGGTGGCTGGGGAGAGGAGAAAGTGGGTGGCCAGCAAAGGGCACAGTCCTGGCCTCCTGTTATCCATGCGCGACAGCCTGCCCCATCCTCTGACTGTTCACCTGACAGCTCTTCCTGACCCAGGGTGAAACCATGTCCTCATCTGGGGACCCAACCATCAACAACCTTTTGCACTAACTGCATGGTGCCAGGCTTCCCTCCGGGATACTCAGGCCATGTTCTGAGACAATTCTGTGTGCCAGCAGTAAGAGCAGGACCGGCTAGGAACCCCCTCCCCTCCACCCCACTGCCCCTCAGACACAGCTCTAGAAGAGGTGACACTATGAGCCAAAGGCTCTAAACACTGGTGGTGAGAGCTGGGCAGCCTAGTTCAAAAGAAGCAGGGATGGGTTGTCTGGGTGGCTTAGTGGTTGTTGAGCAGCTGCCTTTGGCTCAGGTCCTGATCCTGGGGTCAGGGATCAAGTCCCACATCAGGCTCCCTTATAGGGAGCCTGCTTCTCCCTCTGCCTGTGTCTCTGCCTCTCTCTCTCTCTCTCTGTGTGTGTGTGTGTGTGTCTCATGAATAAACAAACAAAATCTTTAAAAAAAGAAAAAAGGCAGAGAGCTACAGGAAACCCACCACCTATGGGAAAGAGAACGAGGACACATTGCATGTCCTCACCTTCTCTTACTAGCTTCTTGTTTTGGGAGGTAGTAGGGAAGGCAAAGATCCCAAGTTTAGAAAAATAATACACTTACAATTGCCCTGAGGAGTGACCAGACTTCTTCACTGGGCGGAGGCGAAGGGCAAGCCTGGCCTGCAGGGAAAAACCAACACCCACCTGCTCACAGAGAGGGTGGCCAACAGCAACAGAACCGCAGATTCAAGGGGAAGGTTGCTTTCCTGACACCAGGCCTCGTGCCTTGTCCCCCCCCATCTGAGGCCCAGCCTTGCCACCTTCCCTGCCCACGTGACCCAGCTGAGACTTACCAAATTCGGGTCCTGGCGGGAAGCTATGACACATGGAGAGGAGGGGGGACACAGTGTGATCGGGAGAGCTCTGTGCTAGGATCCCCCCTCCCACCACCAGCTGGGTTCAAGCAAGACCCACCTGGGGTTCAGCTCTGCTGCTGCTTCTGGCTCCACCTCAGAGAGCCAACTGGCCTGGAGCTCAGATCTGTCTGGAGTCTGGAGGACCCACTGCTGCTGATAAACTGGGTCATGCTGCGTCGGGGACCCAAGAGGCTGCTGGGGGGTCCCATACACCCCCTCAGGTTGGGTCTGTGCTTGGTCTTCATCCTGGGAAATGCCAGAACTTTCTGGCATGTTGCTCCCCTCCTCTGGCTCATCATATATACTAAGTATACTAAATAATGCCTCTTCCTTCTCTCTACTCATGTTCTCAGATCGGTGAAGTGTCTGAGCCACCGGGTTCTAGGGCTTGAGAAAGGAGCCCATCAAACAGCACCTGGGCGACCAATTTGTCCTGAGCCCCTGTAGCAAGAGAGAACAGATACAGTATACATGCACACTGTTTAGGATCTATTTACAAGGGTCTGAGAACACTCTCAGGTCAAGAACAGTTCTCAGATCAAGAGTGATGAGAGCATTCAAAAGGTTGACTGCTGAATCATGTTTTATCCTAAATGCTGGCAGTGATGGTGTTAAAGGTGAAAGTTTCATGCACCCGTTTTGAGATGTTAGCAGCAGGTGTTATGTTTTTCCTTCTAGACACACAGATGGCATTTCCAGTCCTACAAAATCAAAGTCACCCTTTCACCTGGCAATATACCTCTCAAATGAGGACTCCTCCCCAGTGTGAACATGGGGCAACAAGAAACTCTACTCAGGTCACAGGCTCTTTTTCCTGCCTTGAGGCAACAACAGTGGAAGCACCCCAAGGTGTCATGCAAATGTGACATTCCATTTGGAGGGGCAAGGTCGCACAATGACGGAGAAGTTGGCTGGTGGGGATATTCTTCTCTCCTACTCTATGGAATATCCTGAGAACTGAATGGAATTATGTGTGTAGGATACTCAGAATTACATAAGGCTAGCGACAGACCCTCACCAAATGGCTGCAAGGGCAGTTATCTGTGGGCTGCACTGGGGACCAGAGCTTTGAGGATTTAAGGTCGTCCTCCAGGCTGCCTGACAGGTAGCTAGAGCAGGCCTGGGGAACTGTTGTATGGCCAGACTCTGCTACTCTGGACACTCTGAGGTCTCGCTCTGCATATGGCCTAGAACCAAACACTTTATATGTAGTTGATCCCATTTCACCCGGATGACTGCGTGAGCTGCATTTTACAGATTTTAAAAACTGAAGCTCAGGAGAACAGATAACTAAAAAACACAGGGAAAAGGTTCAAATCCCTGTTACTCCCCCACCCCCTAACCCGAGTCTGGCTCTGAACAGTCACCTTCCCTACCTCCCTGTGAGAAGAGGGAAGACACACTCACTGTAGGCACAGATGCAGTTGCCCTCTGACTTAACACTTAAATATAGGCAAAATGATGTACCAGCTGAAGTGCTGTGACAGCAGATGATATAGACAAGTCCCATAGCCACAGGAAGGGACTGGTGACATGTTACAGTACAGTACGTGCATAATGTGGAATACTACACAACTGTTAACGATGATAAGGACACATCTGCAAGGACCAGGAAATATTCTAGGTGTATTAATGAGGGGAGTGGTGGATCCAAGGTTCAGACAAAATGCATAATATGCAGCTTCGGTGTAAAAGAAGGATGGCAATCTGAACCTATCTTTGCATATGTTTGTATGCACGTAAGAAATTAGGAAGAGTAGTGGCCTTTGGGAATGCAAATTGACATAGCACAAGAACTAGAGGAAGATTTGCCTCTGCCCAACTCAGGAGAATTTTTGTACCTGTGTAGCTCTTTGAACCTAAATTTAAAGTTGTCAGACCTTGAATGTTTTTCTCCACCAAATCCACTTTCTCATCTTCCGCCAAATGATAATATGGGGTCCTTGTGATGCTTAGTTACTTGTTTAAATAATTTAACAAATTCACCCTGACTTGCATCAGGTTCCTTTAAGTGGGTGGAAGCTCACAGCACACACCCACCAGTGTGACGAGGATGGGCAGGGAGGGACCAGCAAGCTGCCCTTGGGTAAAGCTTAAAGGCAGTGAGGCCATTCAGTCAGAATTTCACAGATGAAGAGGATTTCACCCTAAGAGTAAGACAAGACTTTCTAGAAAGAGCAGAAGGAAGGGTCCATATGACTGAATCCCACTCTGCTCTATCCCCAGAGCTGGGAATGCAGAGACCACTCCCCTCTCCTCCCAGGGAATTCTTATGCAAGTTTCAATGCAAAATGCTAGCGCTGGGCGTCCATCCGGTCACCGATCCCTCCCTCCCCCCCCCCCCCCACAGCAGGAAACTCACCCTGAAGGCAGAAGGTCAAACCCTCAGAGAAGGGGAAGCAGAACTGAGACCTAATCGGTGCCGGTGCCGGTGCCGGGACCCTCCCTCCCACACCCAGCACCCAGGCACTGCCCCACTCCCCTGCAGGCCTGCTATTTTTAAACCTTAGCCTAATTGATAATCAAGCTCTGGGTTAGAACCTGCATTAAGTATCTTCCCGGGCAAGGCCTCAACCTGCCATTTCCAATTAGCCCCCCAATCCTTGGAAGAGGGATGGGACAGGGGTCTGCAGAGGGAAGTCCTGGCAGGAGGCTAGATGGAGCAACAAAGTTTTAGGGGGTAAGTCTCTGGATCGGGTTCAGGCCGCCCGCAAGAGCCAGTGTTGGCGCAGAGACGGAGAGCTGGTTAGGCTGTCCCCAAGAGCCCGTGCGGGTGCTTATCTCCAGGTGCATCCCCTTAGGGTTATGACGGGAGGGGGGGCACTAGTCCTCCTCTGGGGCCCCGACTGAGCCTGGCTCTGTGATCTTTGATCTTTCAGCAGTCTCTGAAACGGAACGCCACGAGGCCTTTCTTCTCATTGGCTGTCTCATCCGGCAGCTCTTATTTGAGTACTCATCAGAATCTGGAGAGCAAGGCCCACCCCAGAGACTGAATCTGTAGGAATGGGGTGGGGACCCAGATGGTATTTCTAACAACTTCCAGGGTGCCACATTTGAGAACCACTGCGAACCCCCGTGTCTGGTGGTCCCCGTCTGCAGGAGTGAAGGGGCAGTGAACCGCATCCCCTCTTGCTCTTCCCCTCCACGCACCCCGGCCTCTGGCCCACCCCTCCCACTGAACACGCTCTCACTTCTACTCTGGTTCCTTGCTCCCTTCTTTGGAAGCATCAGTCCTCAAATGGCCACTGCATCCAGAGAAATCTTTTACTATCTCTGACCTCTAATCTCCAAAGCTCTCTGTCTCTCCCTTTCTCTCTTTTCCCATCATTTATGCACCCCTCATCCCTAAAACTTTTATGGTTGCCTGTGGCCTTCCAGATAATGTCTGGTATTATCTTTGGCTCGGTATTTAAGATCCATCATCCCCTTCTGGGCCCAGCCTGGTCTCACTTTTCCCCTGATAATACCTTAACCTGACCCCCCAAAGAGCTTGACTGCACCCTTCCACCCTCGCTCCTCTCATGCTGTTCCCTCATCCAGGAATGCTGTTCCTCGTCCACCCATGTATCACATTTATACTCCCATGTACTCCAGGCACATTGCTAGCCATCAGGTTAAGACCTGGCCCAAGTCCTTGGGGAGCTCCAACCTGAGAGGAAGGGACAGAGGGGTATTGATAGAATTCCCCAGCTGACCCATGATCCATTTTTGGTGTATTATCCCTTTTCTGATTCTCACAGGAAACACAACAGTGAAACATGGATTTTATCCCCACTTTGGAAATACAAGAATTAATTTGGGGAGTCAGAACTTCATGGAGATCTCACTGAACAGGTGGAAGAGCTGGGTCCAAAGTTAGGCCTACATAATTTTTAAAAATATGTTTGTGAGGGAGCTGTAGTGAATCATAGGGGTTCTTTCTATATTCTGCCTATGAATCCTTTGGCAGAACGTGTGCACTGCCAGTTTGTGGCTGGCCTTTTAGCTCTCTTAATGGTGTCTAGATGAAAAGAAGTTCTTAATTTTTTTTAAGATTTTTTTATTTATTCATGAAAGACACACACAGAGAGAGGCAGAGACATAGGCAGAGGGAGAAGCAGGCTCCATGCAGGAGCCCAACGTGGGACTTGATGCTGGAACTCCAGGATCACCCCCTGAGCCAAAGGCAGATGCTCAACTACTGAGCCACCCAAGCATCCCATAGTTCTTAATTTTAATTCAGTACAGCTTATCTAACCTTCTAAGGTTAACTTTTTTTTTTTTTTTTTTGGAGTCTTATTTAGGAAATATTTGCTGCCCTCAGTATCATGATGATATGCCTCTTTGTTTTATTCTAGAAGGTTCTCTATTTTGCCTTCCACATCTAAGTGTATAAAGTTTAGGAGCTTGGCAATATCTAGAAAGAGTTGCAGGGAACACAGGATCCAGGCCACAAGCCTAGGTCTCTCAACGGGAGGCCACCAGCCCTGCAGTGAGGAGCCCAACCCTTCTGTCAAACTGTCCTGATTTGAAGCCCAGGCCTGCCACTTCCAGGCACCATGAGCTCTGACAAGTTGCCAGCCGGTGCCTCAGTTTTCTCCTCTGTAAAATGGAGAGGGCAAGATAAATTCCTTTTTTTTTTTTTAATGAATTCCTTCCTAAAGCTGAAGTCAGACCCAAAGGTTAATAGGGCTTTGACAAGACCAGGTTTCAAGTAAATGCTCAGTAAGGGTGAGCAACTCTAAGGGGTCTGAGGAAAAGGAAAGAAAAAGAGGTGAGAGAAGCCAGTGGGAAGACCCTTGTGCAGGGAGGCAGCCCATGGAGAAGAGAGTTGCCGGAAGGCGCATAGGGTCTGGATCACAATCAGCTACATTCATTGCAGGGCACTCACTAGCTGTGCATTTCTGGGTTGTCGGCGTCCATTTTCAGCTGCTCCAGCAGGGAAATTACGTTTAAAGAAAATGAGGTTCAGAGAGCTTAAGTAACCTCATACAGCAACAAAGGGCTGGAGTTAGGATTTGACGCCAGGTCCACACAATCCCACATGGCCCTCTTCCAGGCTGCATAGAGATGGAGGATGCCAGGAACAGGGGGCCATTTGGCTTCAACAGCCTGGAGAGGATGCTTCCTGCACATTTGGCGAGACACTGGAATGCTAAGATTTGAGTTGTCAGACACTGGGAAGAACATAAGTGGGGGTTATGTGGGGGGTTATAACAGGGTACTCAACTGAGACATGAATAAAAGAAGAAACGGGGCAGCTCTGAGGGGTGCAGTGTCAAGAACAGTGGTTC